CCCCCGCCGCCACCACCTGGACCATCTACTGCAGGACCAGCACCACCCCCTCCTCCTCCTCCTCCCGCTGCTCCTCCTCCTACCCCGCCCGCCCCTCCGCCTCCTGATCCCGGATGAGGTCTGTGATGCCCACCATGTGGCACACCGGAATTTTGCTGCGCTTGCTGCGGCGGCTGCTGCACGTGCTGATGCTGCTGTTGCGCAGGTGGTGCGGCTCCCTGCTGCTGCTGGTGATTAGCATTCTGGTTTTCTCTCCTCAGCATCCCCGACTTAAATGCCACTACCGCTGGCCGTCCGTTAATTACCTTCCCATGCAGCTTCTCCTTGCAATCCACAGCCGACGTGCGGCTCTCGAATTCCACAACACAGTAGCCTTTAGACACTCCACTCGCTTTGTCCTCGATGACCCGGAAGAACCTCAAGCGACCGAACTCACTGAGAATGTTCTCCAGCTCGGCGTCCGTAGTCCACCACTGCAAATTCCCGACAAACAAGATCGTCGGTTCTTCCGCCTCCCCCTGGCGCGCCACGTCATCATTGGCCACTGCGCCCGCAAACCCTAAACGAGATGCATCACCCCGTCGAACCACTGTTTCACCACCACCTGCTCCTGCTGCTCCTCCTCCTCCTTCTGCTTCTGCTTCTCCTTCTCCTTCTCTTTCTCCTTCTCCTGCTGCTGCTGCTGCTGCTGCTGCGACTGCTACTTCTGCTTCTGCAGCTGCTGACCCTGCTGCTGTTCCCTCCTCTCCTGCTCCACCGCCAATGGCGCCGGCGCCGCCATCATCTCCTCCCACACTCCTCTGCGGAGAGAGCTTCGCTTGTGACCCCTTTTCGGGCAGTGCCTGTTGACTGGAGGAAAGGGCTCTGCCGGCTACGGCGGCGGTAGCCGAGGAAGACGCGTGGGGACCACCAGCGGCTCCCCCTTTGCTGTCACCGCCTGGATCGAAGCCGCTCCGCTCCTCAGGAGCGGAGGCTGACGGCCCGTTTGACGTTTGCGTTGACGACGCTGCCACCTTCTTGCTGCTAGGCGCGGCTGATATCACGCTGCGCCTCTGATCGGTCCCAGATCCCGACTGGGTATGATCGTGATGGGGTGGTTGTTGTTCCCTTTGATGAGCCTGGTGCTGATACTGCACATATTGACGACCACCACCTGCTGCTGCCACGTGTTGCTGAGCCGCCGCCGCCGCCGCCGCCGCCGCATGAGCGACGCCATTACGAAAAGTGCCTGTTGATGAACCAGCCGCAGGTCCAAATGACCGGATTGGCGCGATGTTCACATCGCCGTACAGATCAAACTCATCGTCATCATCTCCACCATCCCCAGGGGGCATATCTATGGCGGCGGCTGGTGCAGACGAGTCCATCCGCGGCCTGCCTGCTGCTGGCATGGTACCGTCGAAATCAGCTTCTCCATCCAATACACTCGACTTGATGATCGCCGATCGAACCCCGCTACCATCGATGTCAGGGACCCCTCCATCGTCCTCTTCGTAGTCGAACGCCTCTTCCTCATAAATTCCCAAGATGTCGTAATCCACATCATCCATCTGCACACTCCGATGATGAGATGAGGGTCACCTTCAGATCTCGAAATTATTTATTTGAAGTACGGTTCAAGTCCTCAAAAAAATGACATCAATACTTCGCCCTCCTTCACACAGCGCTTTCAATTAATCTATAAAAAATAAAAAATTGCATTCCATACTCACTTCTTCACAAGACGACACGAGCGGAGTGAGCGGCCCTTGGCATCAATCAAGCACCTCACACCCTCCTCCGGAAAGAGCGGCCCTTAGCATCAATCAAGCACCTCACACCCTCCTCGAAAGGCAAACGAGTACAAAGAGAGAGCGGTGAGGGGAAGGGAAACCCACACACACACACACACACACAGACACACAAAAGAAAAAGGGAAAAAACTATTACAATTACTTATTAAAGAACCCTTCCCCAACCACTCATTTCTCGTGGTCCGTTCAAACCTTCTGTTGCCTTCGCAGTCTCTCGCCTAAGAATTGCAGAAAGAAGCCGGGGGAAGCCGGCGGAAGCCGGGGGAAGCCGGGGAAGCCGGGGGAAGCCGGGGAAGCCGCCTACGGCCATATTCAGTCGCAAATTATCTAGTTTGAGCATACCCTAACCATGGTGATAGCAGCCTATCAATTAGCAACACGTCGCGCCGTTTTCAATCACTTCCTAGCACTTCGAATAAGATACCTTTCTTCTCCTCTCAGCTTCAGCGGCCACGTTCCCACCACTTTCCTCCTTTCCTACAAGCCAAACACTTCTAACGTTCATTCCTCATCTCCTGATCGTTTGGCTCTCGCCCGTTTGTTGCCATGTGGGATGTGCGACGCTGCCCCCCAGGGCGGAAAACACACTTTGCCCCTCACTGGCTCCCCGAAAAAGGGCAAAAAAACTCAGCTCCCGGGCCTCAGCTCCGGTAGCCAAATGTCCAAGACTGATAGGTATATATATTATTGTCTACCGCGTGGGCGCGGGGAACGCAGCCCTAAGGTAGCCAAATCACTGAGACTAAGAGCTCGCACAAGAGAGAGAGAGAGAGAGAGAGAGAGAGAGAGAGAGAGAGAGTTTTGTTCCATTT